GTTATGACTACCAAAGTAGAAGAAATTGAATTCATACAAACAAGAAATACAATTGAGTACATATTTAAAAATACAACAACATGGAAGCAAATAACAAAAAGAATTTGCGCTATATCTAGAATAAAAACATTCTATTTCTACAGATTATATAAAAAAGATAACAAATTAACATCATCAGATCTATTCTTGCCCTTTAAATCATTTAAATCAGACTTCACAGACTATGAAATTGAACTAGCAGAATATCAAGCATTAAGACTTCTACAAAAGTTTTACTTTCACAAAGAATGGAAATTCTTAAGTAAAGGAATAATGATTCCCAATAGGCCAGACTTAGCCTGGGATCCTATAAAACAACTAATTATGTCAGAAAGTAGGCAAATGATAGATGAAAAAACTGATATACCACCAGATCATCCAGTAAGAAAATCTTTAATATACTTACCAGTCCCGAAAAAAGAAGACAATTGTAACATATTGAAAGCCTTCTTCAGACATCATCATAAAAAATTAAAACATCCTTCAACAAATCAATTACTAGTACACTTGGCTTTTAAATATTGGATACCAGGAAGTAGAAATCTAGCCAAAGAACTTAAAAGAGAATGTCCAATTTGTAAAAGATTTGATGCAAAACCCTTTCAAGCAAAGCAAGCACCACTTCCAGACTACAGATATACAGGAATGATCCCATTTGAAAAAATTGGAATAGACTTTGTAGGACCATTTAAAACACAAAATTTTGAAAAAGAAAATAAAAATATACATAATGCAAATCAAAAGAAACAAAGAATAAAAGGACCTAAAATCATAAAGTCAATCCCATCCCAAACAATATCAATATGTGTATTCACTTGCACACTCACTAGGGCAGTTCATTTGGAAATAGTAAAGAAAGTGGATTTAGAACATTTTATAGGAGCCTTTGAAACCTTCTGTTATTGTAGAGAAATTAATCCAAGATTAATAATATCAGATAATGCTAAAACATTCCATGCGGCATGGAGGAAAATAATGAGCCATGAACAATACCAAGCAAAAATCAAAAGAACTTTCAAAAGAACAAAATGGCACTTTAATGCTGCAAGAGCCCCATGGTGGGGAGGATTTTACAAAAGAATGATGAGGGTAATAAAAGATAGAT